TTGTCTTAGTCTCCACCTGTCCTGTGCCAGTTCGTCTTCTTTCATGACTCGACATAGCAGCGTACATTTAAGCCTGATCCATGTTTGTTGTTTTGTTTTAAGTTCCTTGTGGAGGTATTTAGTTTCTCCTCGAAAGAGTGATTTTCTGTTCTTTGTTTTGTTACTGTGGAAATTCCAGTAAAGTACGTTATTATTTGAAACCATCTGAGTCTGAGTTGTGCATTTGAGTTCATGTCTCTGAGTTCACCCCTTGACACATAGTTAGCCTGCACGCTATTCGGCTGCCGCTAACGTTAGCTCAACTTGTTTCTCCGTTTACTTAACACTGATGTTTATAAAGATTTGACGGGTGGACGAATTATCCTCAAAAGTCATAGCCTCTCCGAAACAAACAGGCATGCTGATTAAAAACCTGTGAAAATACTGAAAATATCTGTTTCACGTAAAAAAATCTGTGAAACTCTACATGCTACAAGCTAAAAGCTAATGTTAGCTCAGCTTGTTTCTCTGATAACGTAAGATCCAGAAATTCAAGGGGGTGATTACAAGGAGCCACATTATCCTCAGTAGTCACCTCCTCTCCAAAACAAACAGTTCATGATTAAGAACATGTAAAAACACTGAAAATATCAGTTTCACATAAAAAAATCTGTGTTTCCCCAGTCGACAGAGCTAGCTAAATGCTAACGTTAGGTCAGCTTGTTTCTCTGAAAACTTCAGATCCAGAATGACTAAAATCCTTCGCCTGTTTAAAATAGAGAGTTTAAAGCACCAAGATCTATAAATGTGTGTTCAAATATGGCTTAAAACTGGATACAAATAAAAATGTTTACCGCTTCTGGTACTGACTCATGCTTAAAGGAGATATGACGCCATTGCAGAGACTTGGATATAGATAGCAGTTACCGATACCAGAGGAAAAACTACACATTCATCTGAAACTACACAACTCTACTCAATATATACCATAGGTGTATTACTTTTTAATCACTTTAATGCGAAAATGTCAAATAATTACCTTTAATGTTAGAATCGTTTACCAAATAATCAACTTGAAAAAGTATACCTTCACAAACTAGAACGTCTTGTAAACGGTGTCTAAAAAGATGATGCTTTGTAAAAGAGAGAAAGTTTTATGTTAACGTGTGTGTGTGTGTGTGTGTGTGTGTGTGTGTGTGTGTGCGTGCTTGCGTGTGTGTGTTTGATTGTGTGTGTGTGTGTGTGTGTGTGTGTGTGTGTGTGTGTGTGTGTGTGCAAGACAAAGACTCCTTAGTATAACTTTCTGTAGGCGATCCCCCCACCTTCACCCCTTTCCTGTCTCTCTCTCCGACCACTCACCGAACAACAATCACACACACACACACACACACACACACACACACACACACACACACACACACACACACACACACACACACACACACACACACACACACACACACACACACACACTGCCCCCCTCAGCGCATGTTCTATAATTATCCACAAAGAGCATCATTCAGCTTTCTTGTTAAACATTGAACTGACTGTTTTTCTAACACAGCTGTTAAAAATAGAAGTGGAGATCCAATTTCCTTTAATTAACACTTTGAACAAATTAAAACCGCGTCTGCTCTCTGCGCCACCACTGGGAATACACTTTATTTATAGAAAACAAATAGTGTTGTGTATACCGCATGAACTTATAGGATAAGTATGATATATGTGATGTGAAATCTGGAAGAAAATGTGCTTTTTAATGGAAAATCACAGAACATAAGCGCACTTTGTGGAGCCGTTTGATGCCACATACAGTAGGAGAGTATTTTATAGAGCTGCTTGTTAAAAAGGAGTTGTTGACGTTGGCATGAAAGTGAGATTACAGCGACAAATGAAACAGTGGCTTTTTTATTAAAAGGTCTTTTCAAGTGCAGGCAGTAAACATAAACCGCTGGATTTCCTGCAGTCTGAGTTTTGTTGCAGCAGAGACTCAGAGGAGAACATGTTCAAAGTGTAAAGCAGCTTTATTGTAAGTTTCCAGCTACATAAAGACAGGATGACCTTTAAAAAACATTAAAGTGCACAGTCAGGCTGCGGTGGGAAAAGTACTATTGACATCAGAGTAGAAATATTTTTGTTAGAATCATTTGTTTGTCCAGCATTTTAGTTAGAGGTGTAGTACAATTTTACGGATTGAAATGTCTTAAAATGACCTGTGTTTTATAATATGATCATAGCACGGTCCCTTTAATGGTGGTATATAAGGAGGCTTGTGGTGCAGTGGGTTGTGCGTTGGTGTTCGTAACAGGTTCAAACCCCACTGCAGTCAGCATGTCGTTGTGTCCCTGAGACACTTCACCCCAAAGTGCTCCTGTGGGGATTGTCCACAGTATTGAGGATGTAAGTTGCTTTGGATAAAAGCGTCTAACAAGTGACATGTAATGTAATGTAATATAACTTAGCTTAGACATGGTTTACGACCTAAAGGAAAGAATTGCGAAAGGTGAGACTGTGATGTTGATTTAAAGTTTGTACACAGATACTATTACAACATTAAAGGAGTATTTTGGATTGGAAAATGTAATTGAGACACCTAAAAAAACTAAATATTAGTTGAAATAGATGCTATATTTATAATATTTTCACTGTTTTATATGGGGAAAACAAGCCGGTATCTATGCTGACTCCCTCGTCAAATTAATTGTTCCTCACAGAACACTGTAGTTTCTTGTCTATTGGTTGGTCTGTTTGTGTTATTATGTGACTTTGGTGACTCTTAATGAAACCTTTAAAACACCAAACGCACACAGTAACACGTACTAAGTGACACAGAGTGACGCCAGAATACTAGTTTTGTCAATCGAGTTTGTTGGCTTCAGTTCTGACAGCAAGGTAAAGAGCTGAAAATGTGTACATAAAATGTGCTCTTAAATTGATATTGATTAATTTAGGTGTCCACATACGTCCACATAAATGCTTATACCTTATCTACACTGACTGAAGAAGCACCTCATATAACCCCACTTCAAAAATCAGAACTTTTCCCACAATAAGGAGGAAAATCTGATTATTTGGCTTGGTAGTTTATGGGATATTTTACAACATAACAAAAATAAACAGGACCCTTTTTCTTGGGAATGAGAAAAACACATAAGGATCCATGGAGGACACTTAATACCAGAGGACATCCATCATGGTACAAACAGTAGGAAACATAAAAATGATATTTCATTTGCACTTTTAAATTGTTCACCAGATCCACCGGGTCTGAAGTCCAAGAGTCTAAGAAGGAGGAAGGTCAGTGAGGAAATATAGCATTCAAAAAGCTCTTTATTGTTCTCATACTGCCTGTGCTGCAGCACCTCTTTTCACCCTCTGTCTGAAACCAGAGCCCAGTCTGCTCTGATTGGTCAGCTGGCCGGCTCTGTTGTGATTGGTCAACCACTCAGAGATGTCCCGCCCCTTAGACTATCACGCACAATGTGTTGGAGTGCTAGCCAATAGAAGCGTGAGTGTTTTTTTGTATTTTCTAACTTTTTCAGACACATATTTTGCATTTAAGATCAAACAAAGTGAATTCTTTCTAGCTTCTTTCCAAAAAGTGGAAGACATAATGTGCTCCGAGTGTTTGGCCTCGCCTCCGTTCACAGAAGTAAAAAATACTTGGATAAGAGAAAGCCAACGAGACAAACAGAGACACAAACAGAGGTCTTTTGTGCTCGTGTACATCTGTTCAGACTCTGGCTCTTACTTAAAAAGAGATAAGCCCCTGAAGGACCCTCTCAGCGGCCCTGACGAAGAGAGGTGTCTCTATTTGTGCCTGTTTGAGTTGACTGTGTGCCCTGAAGGTAAACAGACGTTATCATTATTCCTCTGCTGCTGCTATGGAGGCGGATACTGACAGACACACAGGCAGATTAGTGTGTGTGTTTATGTGTGTGTGTGTGTGTGTGTGTTTAGCAGGAATTATCGAGCTCCTTCTCCAGGTGTGTGCAGTCGAGTGTTTTACGACGGGGCAGGACTGGAATCTGCAACACACCCAACATGCACATCATTATCACCTCACAAACACAACGAGGGGAATTTACTGACGCTTTTACACTCATCACAAACGTTCAGGACTTTTTTAGGGTCATTCTAGGTGAAAAATAATTCCTAAAGTCGATCAGATTAAAACAGTAGGAGATTGTTCAAATATGGCTCGTGGAAAGTGCAAAAAATACCACAAAAACGCACATACAATCCCAAATGATTGAGCACCGATTGGTTTTACGATAAACCAAGAGGCTTTCTTGTGCGTCTCACCATGCTACATACAGCTACTAGATCTCATATCTGTAGGTGAAACCACAACGAGGGGCTGCCTTTTAGCGACTCTTAGGGCACCCTTTTTGTCTGCATCCCGAAAACAATACAGCTGAAAATAAATCCACTGTTTTTAGTAAACGTTGAGGCTCTGCTCTCTGGTTGCTATATCGTTTCTGTCCACTGCTCGTCATACTTGGATGGGTAAAAGACTAACTGACTGTGTGTGTAAATGTGTGACATTTAGAAGGGGATTTAAGGATGTAATTTGGGACCTGGCTTTGCTGGCCTTTTTGACCAAACGCCCAGAAAGTGCGTCAGATGTTGAATCACTTTTTCTAAGCGGTGGAACTACAACTTCTGTGTCAGTTTGTGACGTAATTGGGGAGTTACCACAAATAACCTCTTGTGCATTTCCCTCTGTTCCTCCTTATCTCTCCTGCATATTGAGCAATACCATTATTATTAATAATGTTCTATAAATAACGTGCAATAAGGTATCTGCCACTACGTTTTTTGCACTAAATACTGTTAATATTTACATTAATTATGTGACCGTCTACTGTATGTTTCCTGTAGATATTGAATTGCTCTTTTTACCGCACTGTTTGTGTACAGTTTTATTATTATTATGCTGCTGTGTTTATTGTATTGTTGTAACTCTGGCACAACAATTTCCGTATCTTATCTTATGTTATCTTATCTCTCCTCCACAGTGTGATCCAGATCCAGCTGTGAGATCATTATCATCAGGATGAAGATGAGACTCGTCTTCCTCTTCCTGACGCTCGTCGTCCTCGTCGCTGCCCGACCCAAAGCAGGTCAGTCTGAACACACTGAGGGAACAATTACAAGAACAGCAGCAGGAAAGTGTTACAAAAAGATCCTCCTGTGCATCATGACTTTACTTTAAGGCCCTAATGCTTTTGGACGTATCAGATTTATACGTTTGGATGCAGTTGAAACATCTGCAGCCGGATTGACTTGATTTATGCGAGCAGACGACGAGGTGGACATATTTATAAGATGTTAAAAAACCCGCCGTTTGCTCATGTCTGTTTGAAACCGAAGACAGATCCCACTCGTCTACTTTCACCCCCTCTGCTGTCACAAGAAGAAATCCTGGACGTGCATTCATACTCTTTCAAACTCTTAAAGAAATACACAGACCTGCTTTATCCCTCCTCCATGACTGCTGTGTTTCTGAGCAGAGATGATGTTACAGACTAAAGACTAAAACATGTGGCTGAAGAGGAGTGAGTTCAGGAGGTAAATGATGTGAAAGTCATACCTGTAAAACTGAAAACCACACACACCAAGCTGTGAGAACAGAGGCTCTTTGTAGTGAGAATTCAAACACAAAAACAATACCCTTTATAAATGCATTGAGAGCCAAACACGGTTATTTTTTAATCAGAATCACATTCCACATCGGGCCAATTTAACACCTTACAAAATCAGAGGTACAATGCAGATGAAAAGCAAAAGGGGAAAGAGAAGACGTATATATTAAATAAAAAGGCAAGCACACTTTATTTAAAAAAAGCAAATACAATTAAGTACAGCATGTTAAAAAAACAAGTAGCAGTATTTTAAAACGGGTGTTGATGATTAATCAAAGTGCCCCCAGGCTACAGGAGTGACCTGACCTGATGTATATAATGTAACTGAAAATATAACGTATCAAAGAAGCTGATCATTTTAACAAATTGGTAATTGTAAAGTAATTGAGTTAATTGCACACGAGCAGTGGTTTTGCGTAAGAGTTTTATATAAAAGCACATTTCAGCAACAAGGCACTTAAAGGGCTTTACTGCACATAAAACAATAACAATAATTATATAAAGGACATTTAAATACAATCAAAAAGTTTTAACGAGAGAATAGAACGTTTAAAAAACCTAAAAAAGAGTACCTGTTTCTCAACTAGTTAAGCATTCATTTGGTTAAAAAAAAGGCACTCTTCTAGCAAAAACACAAAAACAGATAACCCAGCTCTATTTTAAAATGTACAGGAATTGTCTATGTTTTTAAACTTCATGAAATAACCATCTGTTTAAAGCCTTTTCAACTTATTAGAGTGCCCCTTTCTTCCCCTTCGTTTTGCAAATTATGTTCTATCACAGTCCTGCCCTCTAACATTTTTCGACGTGATTGATTTCCCTTTTCATTCCTCGGTGTTGATCCTTCCTCCTCCCTCTCTCAGGTCCGAAGCAGAAGTGTAAGTCCGGCCCGGTGGATCTGGTGTTTCTGATCGACAGCTCTCGCAGCGTCCGGCCTCACGAGTTCGAGACCATGAGGAAGTTCATGATCGACATCCTGAGCACGCTGGACATCGGACTCAACGCCACCAGAGTGGGGGTGGTGCAGTACTCCAGCCAGGTACTGTCGGCCATGATGTATTTAGTTCATGTCCCATGGCCCTTTTCCCCACTTCTGGTTAATGCATATGTGATCCTTCTCGGTTTAGCACTAGCAGCGTTGTAAACCATGAATTTTAATTAAGAGCATTATTATGCTGCTGTGTTTATTGTATTTTTGTAACTCTGGCACAACATTTTTCTTGGGGATAAATAAAGTCTTATCTTATCTTATCTTAAAGGTTGATAGGGCTAGCGAGGCTAAGTAATGAAATAGCAATGACGCTATTGCAAACACAAAACATGGCAATGTAGAAGCGCCATAGATCAGGCGAGGAACATGGTAAACGTTCCTTTTTCTGTCTCCAGGTCCGCACTGAGTTCTCCCTGAAGGCTCACGCTAAACTGGACAGGATGGTGAAGGGCATCAACGAGATCATCCCTCTGGCTCAGGGCACCATGACCGGTCTCGCCATCAAATTCGTGATGGACACAGCTTTCGTCGCGGAGGAGGGAGACAGGCCGAAGGTATCTACACATTTCTAACAACTAACACTTTAAAATAAACATTGTCTTCCAGGCGAGGCAACTGGAAGTGGTTTCCGGGTTTAAGTCGAGTCCTCACTGACACTAAGAAAGTGGATCACATCACTCCTGTTCTGAAGTCTTTACACTGGCTTCCTGTGTGTCAAAGAATTGATTTAAAATATACTGCTGCTGGTTTATAAAGCATTGTATGGTCTAGGCCCAAAATACATGTCTGACCTCCTGCTAAATGATGAACCATCCAGATCTCTCAGGTCTTCTGGTCAGCTTTCTGTCCCCAGAGTCAGAACTAAACAGGTAGAAGTTCAGTTATTATGCTCCAAATATCTGGAACAAACTCCCAGAAACCTGCCGGTCCGCTGCAACTCTTACTACTTTTAAATCCAGGCTGAAGACTTTCCTTGTTGCCGCTGCTTTTAATTGAACTATTCATATCTCACACTGCACTGTCACTTTTATTCATGTATTTTTTCTTTTAATGTTTTTTTATTATCTTTTCTTTTTAATGACTGTTTTTATGTCTTTCATTTTTGTAAAGCACTTTGAATTGCCTTTTGTTGAAAGGTGCTATATAAATAAACTTGCCTTGCCTTGCCTTAAGAACTCATTCCTGCTTCACTATAAAGCAGAAAGCCTTTTCACCTGATGACTGTTTCCTCTCCTCAGGTGCCCAACGTAGTGGTGATCGTGACAGACGGTCGTCCTCAGGATCGAGTGGCAGAAGTGGCGATTGAGGCAAGAGAAAAAGGAATCGAGATCTTCGCTGTGGGCGTGGCCAGAGCAGATATGGCGTCCCTCAGGGCGATGGCGTCCCCTCCATTCGAGGACCACGTCTTCCTGGTCGAGTCTTTTGATCTGATCCATCAGTTCGGACTGCAGTTCCAGGACAAACTCTGCGGTAAAAATAATCTCTCTGTGTCTCATCTGTTAAACCTCTCAGTAAAACAGCTGCTCAATTTAGTTTTTATCAAACAAACAGAGGCACTCTTTGCATCTGTTGAGAACAAAAGCCCACAATTAAAGAAAGTATGTTATTATAAATGGGAATCAATTAATTTCCTGAATTTATAAAATTAACAGTATTTATTCTCATAATTTGACCCTACAGCATCCAATCAAGTTGATAGAGGGAACCATGCAGTACCAACGTTGCGCCAGTAGGAAAATAAAAGTGATACCTACTGTAAGTTAATTTAGTCTGCGTACAAGAACTACGCTGATCAGAAGCGTATTATGACTTGATGAGAAATCTGAAATTTGCTCTAAAGCACACAGTTCATTTAAAATAGGACTAATAAATATCAATATATTTACCCAGCGGTTTTAAGCAATCATGACTAAATCATGCATTCAAAATAGTATATAGCAGTAGAAGTACAAAACCTCACCAAATACATATTTACTGTGAAGTCAACAAAACTATTCCAACTTTGACAGAAACTTAATAATAATAATAACTTTATTTATAAGCACCTTTCCTGCAAGATGCAGCCCAAAGTCCTTTAGAGAACAAGACAAGATACATAAAAGACTAAAGAGTAAGGAACATAATTAAAAACAAGAGACAGAAAGAGTTATATCACAACACCATAAAACATGAGCAGTGATCCCAATAAAATTACCCAAAATTAAAAGCCATATTCATGCACAACCCCGTCCCTCTTATTATGACGCTCGTAGAGTAAGCATGTTTTCTAAAGAGTGATGAACTGGATCTGAACCGTGTGTGTGTCTCTGCTTCAGGAGTGGATCTGTGTGTGGAGTCGAAGCACGGCTGTGAGCAGATCTGTGAGAGTTCTCCAGGATCTTTCCACTGCCTCTGTCTGCCCGGATACTCTCTGAACGAGGACGGGAAGACATGTGCAGGTAACAAGAGGAACAATACTGACATGTTTTTATAATAATTATAGTGCATTATTAGAGAGCTTTTCTTGAAACTCAAAGACACTATACAGAGTAAAAAATCATAAAAACATAATTAAAACAACACACTTAAAATGAGTAAAACACAACATTAATTACATATTTTTGGTACATTAGTGTCACATTGGCTCAAAAGCAGGAGTTTTAAAGTATCACATTGTGGGCAAACAAAATCGAGAACACTGCCACAAATGTGTGTGTGTGTGTGTGTGTGTGTGTGTGTGTGTGTGTGTGTGTGTGTGTGTGTGTGTGTGTGTGTGTGTGTGTGTGTGTGTGTGTGTGTGTGTGTGTGTGTGTGTGTGTGTGTGTGTGTGTGTGTGTGTGTGTGTGTTTCAGCCATTGACCTGTGTGCGGAGGGGAAACACGACTGTGAGCAGATCTGCAACGCCTCTCCGGGCGCTTTCACCTGCGACTGCAACGCAGGATACAAACTGAACGACGACAAGAAGTCCTGCTCAAGTGAGTCACACACACACACACACACACACACACACACACACACACACACACACACACACACACACACACACACACACACACACACACACACACACACACACACACACACACACACACACACACACACACACACCTGTTGTCAGCTGCTGGCTTTATATTGAGAAGTTTGTTCGGCTTGAATTCATGCTCATCATACTGAAATGGATTCAGAGCTTCACAAAATGCTGATTCATGATTTCTCTGCTGTGTCATGAAGAGGGTTTGCATCATGCCCTGTTTGTCTCATTAAAATACTTTAAATCCTTTATATTCGAGAACATCTAAAATTATAATCACTGGACAAGAAGAGCCTTATTAAAAACCCATAAATATGTCAACTAAGGAAAACAACAAGTGTTATTCTCACTCTTAAATCGTAGAGACTTGTT